CGCCCGCCTCGGCCTCCCAAGAGCTAGGATTACAGGCGTGAGCCACAGCGCCCGGCCTTGTGCTTTGCTTATTTAGGGCTACTGTCCATGCTGTGACTCTCAGGCAAGAGTTTTGATCCAACAGCTGCTCCCAGGGTAGGGTAACATTGGAATGGAGGCTTGCGCTGCAGCCTTCCCGTGAGTGGGCCTGGGCCCTTCAGCTACTGTAGCTCTTACTGTCTCTGAAAGCAATGGTAGGAATTCTTTCAGAACCTCAGAGGAGGAATTAGCCTTTTGCAGAGACTACAGAGAATTCATGGGATACAAAAATCTCCAGTCTAGGAGGGAGTCCCAGGTATAAAAACAAAACTGTAATATATTTTATGATAAGTGCTTTGCTTAAATATACGGGACTGTGTTCACTCAGTTTCTCAACAAATATTTATTGAGCAACTTCTGTGTGCCAGGTCCACCTTAGGGGCAGGAACTACTTATTTATCTTCATGTCAGCAGCACCTGGTGCAGTGCCTAGCCCATAGTGTGGGCTGCAGACTGTACACAATGCTATTTCCCTTAGCCTAGCCAGAGTGCAGGGTGCAGCTGATGGGTGGGATCATGGCACGGATCTTCTTTCTTTCCTTGGAGCTAACTAAATTTTCATGGGACTTAAGGCTTCTGATTTTGGCCTTAATCAGCCAACTAACTCCAGTTAGAAGGGCAGTGATTATTTGAATTGCCAAGATACTATTTAATGAGGATCTTTGTGACTAAGCTCTTAAAGCTGAAACTTAAGAAAGTAATATTGGCTACAAAACCTTGTTGGATAAACATTGCCACTCCCTTGAAAATTCTGGGAGTTCCAGCTTGGTTTCCAGCTGACCTTTCCCTGCCATTTATCTATTTGTTTAGCACTAACATTTTTTTAAGCTTCCAGTGTATACGGAATCCTACACTGGGTTCTGGGAAATACAGTGCGCTATGCTCCCAGTCTGCAAATTGGTCACATTTTAAGTGGGAATGCAATAAATGAAATATTCAAACAGCTTAACAATGATAAACAGGGAAAAACAACTTTTATGGGCAATGGCTTTCAGCAACTCCAGACACAGTCTGGCCCAAGGGCTTGGCTATGGGACTGCCTGTCACAGAAAAGTAAAATGTGGGAAGAGTGTTGAAACATCATGGAATTAATGGTTTATTCCTTTTCATCTTTGGATCTTTGTACATGCTGGTTCTTCCTTTTCTCACCCCAACCCCTCTATTATCTTTCTAACTAAAACTCTTATTTTAAATATCAACTCTGTTTTAATCCTGGGAGCCCTTGGTGACCACCAGCTTACACGCACATGCACACACTGGCACACACAGAACTGTGCTAATTGCCCCTTCTTTGTGGCAGCAGCAGCACGCTGTGATTCCTCCATTATGATAGCATTTATCACAAGGTATTGTGATTTCTTCTCAACTTCTCTGTATTACTCTTGCCCACTGGATTGTAAGATCTGCGATCGTAGGACCATATCTATCTTGCTCACCATTATATTCACTGACACAGAGTAGCCATTCAATAAATACCGTGTTTCCCCGAAAATAAGCCCTACCCATACAATAAGCCCTAGCAGGGTTTCTAAGCATTTGCTCAATATAAGCCCTACCCCAAAAATAAGATCTAGTGATAGGTGTGGCTACGCAGCATATCTGCACAATACATGCATTTTGTTGTGGAATGGGAAATAAGATGAGCAGCCCTTCTCATCTGCCCCATGAGAGCTCTATTGCTCGATGTGAGAGATTGGGGCTGATGGTTCTAAAGAAAATAGAGTTGCAAGAAATTAAGGATGGAATTTGGGGTTTGGAGAGTTATGATGATGTTCCAGAAGAAGATGACTTAACTATATTTGAATAAATGTAGATTGTTGTACCATACTTTAAAAAAACCACATCCCCTGAAAATAAGCCCTAGGGTGTCTTCTGGAGGAAAAATAAATATAAGACCCTGTCTTATTTTCGGGGAAACATGGTATGTGCTGAATGCATGAGTGAATGAAATGAATGGCAGAACCAGCATTAGAGTAAAATTTTCATGTGTTGTTTAATTACTTTGTGCCATAACTTCCTAGGTATTTTATGGATCTCCAATTTCTGTGAACTTATAGATAGCATAAAGTTGTTGTAGTGATATATTGTTTGTTAAATGCCTCAGTTGCCTCTAGATTCAGTGCTCATTGCAGGAAGAAGTGTGTATTACTGACAGGAAAGTCACAGGCTTGATCCCTGCATGGACCAATTGGATTCTCATCTGGAAATCTCTGCCTTAAATTGAGCTGCTTTTAGATTAACTATTTTGATGTATTCACTAAAGCGGGCAAACTATTCAGACAGACTAGGAGATAGGGTATTATTAACTAAGCTACAAAAAGAATTCCAGGGATACATGACCCATCAACTTTCTTTTTCACGGAAATCAGACCCAAATCTGTGGAAAGAACAGGAACCATATTCCAAAAAATACAGCAGTCAACATGAGGGCTAAATAGTAAGGAGTGCTTAATCCGAAGTAAATGAATTTCATTTCAAAGAGCAAAGCAGCTAAAACTTATGATAAGTCTTTGTTTTGAAGTGTCCTTCTCGAAGGTCATCAAAATAGGTTTTAAGTTAGCTTCCCAAATCCAGTTTTTGCTCTGTTAGTTATTAGAGATTTTTTGAATTAATAATCCATGCAGAACTCTGGACTCTGCCCTGCTGTTTTCTACCTCCTGGCGTGGTCATCCAGGAAGGGATTCTTCTCTATGTTGAAGGCAGGCGGTGTAGAGATGGGGTCCCTCCTGCCTGACATGTCATATGCTTCCCAGAATCTTAAAGATTAAGATGAATCATTATAAGTGAATTGATCCCAGACAGAGAACACAGAGGGCTGGTACATGTTTGTTGTAACCTCCAGAGAGAGCTCTCCATCCCATTTACATGTTCTTGTAGGGTGTCTTCTGTATCGTGATGAATGAGCCATCCGGAAGCCAGACCTCCCACTGCCTTGTCACACAGCCGTAGTTTCATCAGAGGTCCTGTGCATCTGGATCACCCTCTAATCACAGGCCACATTATCTGTTGCAAATGTTTAACAAACAAGCCCACCCTCTCTGGATATGATTTTCGTATGTATTTTTTATTGTGTGAAAATGACTGTGCTTTCTAGCTTGATACACTTGGATTGGTTGTTCACATTGAAAATGAATTGGCAGTTACTCAACTTCAATCTAATTTTATATACCATAGATTGAGAATGTTGAAGTTAAAAGCCTTTCCACAATCGCAGATTAGGCATATGCATAAGAGAGAGAGTGGACGAGTTAGGACTTTTGCCATTCCAGTCAATAGCTTGATCCATCAGATATTCAAAAGGGAACTGGGAATATCTTTCACTGATGTGAAGTCCTTCTGCCACCATTTGCAGTGATAGAACCTGTGAAGTGTAGTTGTTAAATTCAGAAAGACCTAGGATCAAATTTTACTTCTGATTCTTGCTAGCTACGGGAGCCTGGGCAAGTCATGTGTGACTTTAAGACTCAGTGTCTCTATGCCAAATCATTCTTATGAGATGATAATATCTTAATAAAGTTAAATCATTTAAGAGTTAAACGAGATAATGCATAAAAAAAGCATGGCACATATTGAGCACTCCATGAATATTATCTTTATTGATAATGAAGGTTCTTATTTAAATATATCCTGCATTTTAGAAATTAGAAGTAGATTTTTGGCTGAAACCAATCCCTGAATGGTAATAGAGAAAACTGTTCCAACAGGAGCATAAGGGAAACGAAAGTTGAGGAATAGGGTAATGTTTCTAATTTTAGGGTTTATGAGAAAATTCATGTTTTGTCACTTGGCAAATCAGGATCACATTCTGAAAGAGTTAAAACAGCTTCTCTTTAAATGAACAAACTTCCCTCATAAAAATTTTTCTCAGATGAAGTTGATAGGACAGTTTTTAAGAAATAAATTTTTCATCCTTGTGTGGGTAATGCAACTAGGGAAAGAGAGTAGCTATCCCATCCAACTTGCTAATTGCAGCTACTGTTTCTTAAAAATATTATTTTTTTCACCAAAATGATATTGTTATTAAATATCATTGAGGTTCTACCTGGTGACAAAAACTATGCTTAGATATAGGGGATCAAATATGAATATAACATAATCCTGCCTTAAGGGTTTTTAAGTGGATAGAATATGCCCATTAAAAAAAAGCCATGCTCAGCATGAAGGGTTAAATGCCTTATAACTAACTGATGATCGATAACAGAAGAGTGATTAATTCTCATACAGGAAGAGAAGACTTGGGGCTCTAGTTTGGATTCCACCACTTACCAAATTTCTAACGTGAGAAAATTTACTTTAGCTCTTTGAGATTTCAATTTTCCAAAGGCAAAATGGAAATGATAACATCTTCCCTCCCATTCCCATAAGGTTGGTGTAAGGTTCAAAGGAGCTAAGGTTCATGATAACACTTAATAAATTATAACACTACTTAACTGATCCTTGCTGTGATCATTTTCCTTCTGCCTCCTCATAGAATGAGACTGTCACAAACTTTGTCTTTTTTGTTTCCTGTCTTAGCTTAATGAATTAACTGGAAGTCATTTCACTGTATGTGTATTGAGTGTATTGTGCACCCATCATCAAATCTTATCAAGCCAAAGCAGGAGAACTAAACATAGACATCTTGACTCCTAAGTAATCATCTAATACTTAATCCTGAAGTCAACATTTTTAGAGAAGGAAAGATATTCTCTAAGGATTGACCTGTTTCAGAAAGGAGCTAGTATTTACAGTGGAGAAAACTGAATATTCATTCATTGAACACTAACTCAATAAATGTTTGTGAAGAGGCTACCAGAGGCCCTGCCGCCGGCTGGAAGGACGAGAGAGAGAAAGGCAGGGAGTTCAGTCCTAACATTGATCTTTGCTGGTAACCTCTTGGCATTGGATAAATCATTCATCTTCTTGTACTGTGGTTTCCTGCTCTGTAAATGGAAGGTCAGTTAGGTGCAAAACACACAGTCAGTATTATATTACGTATTATGAAAATATTGAAATACAGAGGCAAAGTGAAAACAAGAAGAGTACGAAACCCCTTTGTGTTCAACTGTAAGAGAGCTGGTGACTGCTGCTTTTGGCAGGCGTGAGGGGGCAGCGGACGGGCAGTGTTGGCGGAGGCCAAGCTGAGCACTGGGCACATAAGGAACACGAGTGTGTCAGGAACGGGGAGAGAGCAGAGCAAGGTAAGGCAGCCAGCTTCCAGCCTGGGAGCTTCTGGGGTGCCTATCGGGGCTGAGCCAGGAAATAGTTCTGTTACAGCTGTTAGGAAATTTTAAAACTATTGTTACCATGGATGGAAGGGATTTTTTTGTGAGATGATGAGAGATCCCAAATTGTGTCTGTGAGCCTACGAGTGGGTGACGGCTGTATACTGGGTAATTTGGCACTATTCTTCATCCTAGATTGTCCATATTTCATGTGTGTGGTTTCTTATCTTACTGTGAAATATGCTAAACATTGATAAAAGCAGTATTTAACTAAAAGAGAAAGTAAAAGAACGTTAATAAGGCAGTTTTCAAGATAGGAACTGAAATGGGCTCCAGGCTTGCCCTGAGAGGAAGAGAAGGAACATGCATTGAACTCACGTGGATGCCTGCTGGGCCCTGGGCATTTTCACATCTGCAAAATAACCTTATTATTGCCCAGAAAGGTGGTTGTTATGCAGATCTGAAAAAGGAGGAACAGAGAGAGTAAGCAACTTTACAGTCAGGGGAGGACAATGTTACTAAGCTCAGGTTCGAACTGTGGAGGGTGTGAAGCTATTCTCTCAGGGACGCCGTCACAGACTTAGCGTGCTTGGCATACTTACTTTATCTTTAAAGAATGGTCTGTACTTGGAAAGCAGAGAACCCGCTTTTGTACACCTGTTAGTATTATCGGAAGATGTCACTAAAGTATAAGGTACTTGGACTGAGGCACAGGCATGTGAGGTTTCTGTTGTCACCTTGTAGTGACTACTGGGGCCAGCATTTCACAAAGCCTGCTTACCCCTCCTAGTCAGGAAAATCCTGCAGGTTGGGGGAAGGCTCCTCAATCCCACTGTCATTTGGAAACATGTCCAAGTGGAAGTGGGCTCTCCCCTTGGCAAAGGCAAATCTTTTCGAATCTTTATAGTTTCATAGACTCACAGAACTTCAGAGCTGAAGAGACCTTCAAGATAGATGTTTTTGCCCCATTGCTCAAGTCTAAATTAGGGGGAAGCTAGGGCAAGAGTTCACTTACAGCCCTCCCATCCTCCTGTACTCAATATTTTCCTGTCTGAAGCACTGGGTGCATGATTAAGCTCTTTAACCAATTCCTGAATTTGTAATTTATGAAACCAGGAAAAGGGCATTTATCATTTGAATCATCCCAGAAGTGGGATGTGTCAGAGTTAGGGAGAAAAAAATTTCTTCTAAAAATTTTATTCTAGGTAATTTAAGGTGACTGCACCTGCCTGCTTTAGAGACTTGTACATGCGTTGCTCATCCCTGGACTGAGTCCTCCCAGCCCTAGTAAACTCAGAAGTACAGGCCCTGAAGGGGCCTGCTTGATGGTTCCTGTCAAGGATAAAACTGAAACTAGGAAGCCTTTGGTTGCTGACTGTCAGATAAACTTGCTTAAGTTGTCTGCCAGAAGCAGTGGATCATATGAAAAGCCACATGACTAACCAGAAATAATTGGAGCTTAAAAGATGCCAGGGTCGATGAATAAGATTTCTTCCACCATGGGATCTAGTTAAAACAAATTCACCCACTCACAAGTTCTGAAGTCCCATTATCTTTTACTCTGGTACATTTCACTTGCCCTTATGTGGCAAATTAAGTGATTTTTTTTATTAGCATAGAAATGTCAGCCTTATTGACTATAACTAGCTGTTCATTTATTTCTGCTTTATTATTAATTCATTCATTTATTCAACACATCTTTAAAGCCTACTGTCTGCTAGGTGTGGTGGAAGAAACAAATAACAGTTTTTTTTCATGCAACTTTTTCTGATATCTCCAGTGTGATGTTATCTTTCTTTTTCCTGAAACCTTGTAGCTCTTTGTTTACAATTTTCCCAATGGATTTATGACACATTGCTTTGCATGGTAGCAACCTGAGAACATGTCTTACAGTACTATTGAGAACTAAGACATTGCTTTACAAATTTGTGTGTGTCCCATGGTACTTAAAGTATTCTTGGCATAGAGTATGTTCTCAGAATTGTGGCATGAATGACTGAATGAATATTTGTTGAACTGGAGAAGAAGTTGGTTCAGCTCAGGCTAAGTTGTGCTGCTATAACAAACAACCCCCAGATTTCAGTGTCTTATAACATAATGATGCATTTCTCATTTATGTTAATGTCCCTTGTGAGTTAGGTGCAGCTTGCTCCTCATGTTCTTTGTTCTGGGATCTGGGAAGGAGAAGCAGCCATTAATTGGGACAAGCTTGTCTCATGGTAGGGGGACAAGAGAGATGGCAGAAACATGTCATAGATCAGAAGTGATATATGTCACTTCTGCTCAAATTTCATTGGCCAAATCAAGTCATATAACCAAACTGTCATGGGGGGAAAACAAGTATAATTCTTCCATGAAAAAGACAGTGACTATTTAAGATGAATAATATAATCTACTGGAGAAGTCATCCCTATTTTTAAAGAATTTAAAATATAGTTGAGGAAATAAGCTATATACAAATAATAATAATTTTAAAAGTGAAGTGAAAGCAACATGTTATAGAGGTAAGAGGAAGGAGAGATTTCTTTTGATTGGGGTTAGTCATAGAAGGCTTAAAAAAGGATGTGTCCTTTAAATTGTGCATAAAAAAAGTAAGATTTTGTAAGAAGGAAATGGGGAAAAGGTGAATACAAGAGTATTAGGAAAGATATGAAGGTACTCAAGCAAACTATATACTTAGGAGAAAGTGAAAAGTCTACTTTTGGTGGAGGATAAGGTGCCACATAGAAAAACAATAGTGCTTTAAATTCCAAAGTAAGGAATTCAGCATTTCTTCAGCAGGCAATGGCAATCCACTGGTGGGTTTGGAAGCTGATTGAAGAATGGGTTGGAGAGAAGGTGAATATATTTATGAGGCTACTTAAGGAGTCCATGCAGGGAGACTAGAGGCATAACCAGGGCAGTGACAAGTATGACTAGAACAGAATGTACATAGGAAAGCTGCAAAGGAAATCAACAAAGATTAAAAAGAGATGGTTTGGAGAGCAAAGGAGCAAAAGAATGAGAGAAATTGAAGACAATTAGGCAGTGGCAGTACCATTAATGAAGTTAGAAAAATAAAAAAGAGAATTAACTTGTAGAATGGGAAAATAATGTTTTATTTTAGCTATGCTGACTTTGAGGAATTTTAGGTAGAAATGTTTAGCAGGCATATGGAACTATGGGAATGGAGTCTGGATTTTGTGGCCGTGGTTGAAGATGTGGACCTGTGAGACTCTCTGAGAGGTGACAGTTGCAGCCATGGATGTAGATGAGAATCCCAGAGGGGAAATAGCAGCTGAAAGGCAGAGTGTGGAGGTCTACCCACAGGCAAGGGTGTGGGAAGATGAAGACACACCAGGTGGGGAGGCTAAAGAACGCTGACAGGGAGGAGAGGAGGACAGAACAGGGCAGGATCAGCTAAGTTGAGGCAGACGTGAGGCCGGGGAGCAGGGAGAGGTTAGCAGTGTCAAATACTCTCGAAAGTGCCAGGGGGATGAGAATGTCGAGAGTGGCACTGAGCTCAGAGTAGGTGATCACTGGTGGTGATGATGGAAACAACTTCAATAAGTGATGGAGATGCTTTTGTGAGACAGCTGATAATGAAAATTACAGAAATCGAATGATGGAGGCGTAGTTGGCAGGGGTGGAATCAAAAGTACGGTTATTGTGGTAACTTCTGAAAAGAAGATGGACATAGTCCATGAGTGGGGTGGGCAGGAGGAATGTATGCACTAAAAGAGAAATTGTTAGTGAGGCAGAGTGATTGTAAGGTACCTCTTACCACAGCAGAGAATAGGGAATATGTTCTTTCTTTAAAATTAAAAAATAATTATTTATTACTGAAAACCTAGGCCAGTTTTTTAAAATTTTATGCAGCTTATTGCTTCATTAAAATTAAAAGCATGTTGTTTTTGTTTTTCTTTTCAACACCTCAAGAGGTAGAAAGCACATTGTATTAATAGCAACAATTACGTTTTTTCATTTCAAAATATTACAGGGTACAAATGATTTTGGTTACATTTATCATTTTTGTTATGCTTGAGTCAGGGTTATAAGTGTGCCCATCACCCAAATAGTGTTCATTGTACCCATTAGGTAGGTTTTCGCCCATCTCCTCCTCCCCTCCTGCTTGATGTCCTCTGAGCTTTAATTCCCTGTATCACATGTGTGATCATTGGATAGTTCCAATTTAATAGGTAGCACATGTGGTGTTTATTTTTCCATTCTTCAGATACTTCTCTTAGGATACTGGTCTCTGGTTCCATCCAAATTGTTGCAAAAGGCGTTAAGTCATTCTTCTTAATGGCTGCATAGTATTCCATACTATACATATACCACATATTGTGTGTGTGTGTGTGTGTGAAATCTAATGTTTATTAGCAGTGAATAAGTTTTAAAACGCCAAAGGAAATAAAGCATCTTCACAATTCTTTTTTCTCACTCTTATCTCCAAGGTACAATATCACAGTCAGCGTTTTAGGCATTGAATATACGTGTGCTAATTATCAAATAATTCTACTTCTATTTCAAAATTTAAAGTATAGAAAAGAACAAGTTTAAATTGAACATGAATACACTTTTTTAGTGGATTATTATTAGTTTTTTAAATTTCAAAGTATTATGGAGGTGCAAATGTTTTTGGTTACTTGGATCACATTGTAATGCTTGAGTCAGGGTTAAAAGTGTGCCTATCACTTAGATAGTGTTCACGGTACCTGTTGGATAGGTTTTCGTCCATCCCTTCCTCTCCCAACCCCCGCTTGCTTTCCTTTGAGATTTACTTCCCTCTATGCACATGTGTGCTGATCAGTTAGTTCCAATTTAATAGTGAGTACATATGATGTTTGTTTTGCTATTGTTTAGACACTTTAGATACTTAGGATAATGGTCTACAGTTCCATCTAAATTGTTGCAAAAGGCATTAAGTAATTCTTTTTCATGGCTGAGTAGTATTCCATTGTATACATATACCACATTTTGTTAAGCCACTCATA